ACTTCTCTGCTGGGCTCAGAAATTCTTTGTAATGGCTGTTTCAACTCCTCTCTGCTGTAAAAGCAACAACATTTTTTATGCCATGCACAATCCAATGACAGGTCTTCCCTTGGCTCTGTAAGATGGGCCTTTCAACACCCCAAGATAGGTAGCTCCTGGTCCTGGCTTCTGCCCTGCTCAGGTGAGAATGACAAAGCTCTTTAACTGCAGATACGTTCCTCAGGACACCTCATTTCATGCTGAAACCTCTACTTGAAAAGGACCAGGCTCCTTCACTGTGTATGTTAGAAGGTGCATGGTAACTGCCTTGTTCTGTGGGCCAGAAAGCCCATGTTCTCTCTTAGCTGATCTCTTGTCACTGTATCTCTGCTGCTACTTCTTTTCTTACATCTTTGGTGTTAGAGCTATTTCTTTTTCCTGGTTCTAGGAATATTAAGGGAAACAAGGAGATCTAACAATGTGGAATATCACATGTAAGAAAAATCTTGCTGAAGGTTGTTTTAAAATGACTGGATTTTAATATGAACAAGAGAACTGTCAGAAATTCAAGATGGGTTCAGAGGAGGTCATGGAATAAAGAGTATCATTGCTGATGTCGGATGGCTCTTAACTGAGAGAATACTAGAAAGATGGTTACTTGTGTTTTATTGACTATGCAAAGGCTGATTGTGTAGATCATAATAAATTATGGCTAACATTGGTAAGAATGAGAATTACAATAATGTAAAACATATAAACAGACCAAGAAGCAGTTGTGTGAATAGAACAAGGGAGTACTACATGGCTAAAAATCAGAAAAGATTTGTAACAGGTTTGTATTCTTTCTCCATATTCAATCTGTATATTGAGCAAATCTTTTGAGAAGTTGGACTAAAAGGAATTTGGTGTCAGGATTGGAAAAAGACTAATGAATAGCCTGTGTTATGAAGATGACACAACTTTGCTTTCAGAAAATGTAGAGGACTAAGAGAAGAGGGCTTGAACCTCTTGAAGATCAAAGATTGCAGCCTTTGGGATGCATTGCAAGGTGTGTCTGATACAGGCCATGGTCTTTACTCTCACTTGTTATGCATCAGAGAGTTGGACAATGACAAAGGAGGATAGAAGGAGAATTGTTGCCTTTGAGCTGTGGTGCTGGAGAAGAGTATTGAGGGTACCATGGACTGCTAAGAAAATGAACAGATTCATCCTAGAAAGGGATAAACTGGGCTGCTCCTTGGAGGCAAGGATTCTGAGGCTTCGTCTGACATACTTTGGACATGTTGTAAGGAGAGACCGGTCCTTGGAGAGGGACATCATGCTTGGGAGGGTGGAGGGACAGCACAGGAGGAGAAGGCCCTCTATGAGGTGGATTGATTCAGGGACTGGGGTAATCAGGATGGGAGTGTCAGAGACAGTGCGATTGGCACAGGACAGAGCAGAGTTTAGGGTCACTCAGAGTCTCAAGCAACTCGACGGCACATAACAACAACAACAACATCAGGAAAACAGAAATCTTCACAATTTGACCAGTAAACAACATCATGATAGAAGGAGAAAAGACTGAAACTTTCAAAGATTCATTTTACTTAGATCCACAATCAACATGCATGGTAGAGAAGTCAAGATTTGGGCAAACCTCTGTGAAGGACCCCTCTTTAAAATGTTAAAAAGCAAGATGTTCGTTTAAAGATTAAGATGTGCCTGGTCCTAGCTATGGGATTTTCAGCTATTTCATATCCATATGAAAATTAGGCCATGAATAAAGAAGACTGACGAAGAAGTGATGGCTTTAAATTGTAGTGTTGGTGAATATTAAAAAATATACCATAATTGTCAAAAGAACAAATCTTATTTTTTTTAAAAAAGAGTGAAAAAATGTTTTATTTTTAGATTTTTAAAAAATATTATACTGGTTTACTTACAAAGTTTGTATACATTGTTTTTCACACCAGGTCTTTCCCCTTTTCTTTTCCCATGCCTCCCTCTATATTGTGTGATGGTATGATTAAAACACCCCCCTCCACTTCTTGAATCCTTGTATGTGTTGTACAATAATGGTCTTATACAGTATTTGTCTTTATGAGACTGAATTAGTTCATTTAGCATAATGCTCTTCAGTCCCTCCCATGTTAAGTAGTAGTTTACAAAGTTATTGCTCTATGTGCTGCATAGTATTCCATAGTATGAATGTACCGTAATTTCTCAACCCATTGTATTGTGGTTGGGCATATTTGGGCTGTTTCCATGTTTTTGCAATGGTGAATAATACTGCTATGAACATTGGTATACAAGTGTCTGTTTTTTGCCTCATTTCTCATTTTCTCAGCGTATATTCCTAGCAGTGAAATATCTGAGTGTTATGGAATTTCTATGTTCAGCTTTTGGAGTAAATGCCAAACTGCCTTCCAAAGTAGTTGTACCATTTTACGATTCCATGAAGAAATGTTAAAAATCACTGGCAATAAGGGAGATGCAAATCAAAACCACAATGAGATACCATCATACCCGAGTAGCAGTGGCAACGTTTAGCAGGCCAGCAAGTAATAAATGTTGGTGAGGATGTGGTGAGATAGGAACTCTTATACATTGTTGGTGGGATTTTAAAATGGTACAAACAAATCTGTCTTGGAAGAAGTGCAACCAAAGTATTCCTTAGAGGCAGGGGAGACGAAACCGGTCTTATATTTAAGTGTGGTGGAGATCTCGAGGATTGTACAAGATAGGGCAAAATCTGTCTGTTGTGGATGGAGTCAGCTGAGTAAACTGACCTGACAACAAGAAGTCTTTTTTTAAAATATTTTTTTTTATTGTTTACTGGTTTACTTACAAAGATCGTATTCATTGTTTTTCATACCCGATCTTTCTAATTCCTTTTACCCAATCCTCTCCCCATCAAGTTATGTGACCACCCCCCCATCCTCACCCCTCTGCTCCTACCGACCCCCACATGGATCCTCATACATATTTTACTAGTTAAAGAACAATTCTTTAAACTTATAGAATTAATCTTTTCTTGCTTTCCCCTTTCCTAAACCTGAGCTATTTATTTTTTACAAATTTAGGTTCTTCATTACTATCTTAATTTGAAGCTTTTACCAATAACCAGACTTTTCATATAGTAATAAGCCATTAAATTTTTTGTCTTACTACCTTTTAACAGATAGACATTCTTCTGGTATTCCCTGCTTTCAGCCAAGATCCATCTAACATCAGCAACGATATCCCTAGTACCACGACCCCTTCTAAA